TACTCTGACCACCACCAACTACAGGGTTGGGAATTTAAAACTTTTGAAAACTAGTTTTAAATTGTCGTTAAATTTTTGAAAAAATCACAAAAAAACGTCTTATCTCGAAAACTACAAGAAATTGAGCAGTCAAATTTGGAGGTAAAGTTTGCAACCCCCGGGAGTACACTGCAAGAGCTTCACTATAGAGATACAAACTTCAAACTTTTTAAGTTTGAGCATTTTTTTCTTTAATGACCTAACAAACGTGACATCTCGGAAATTAAGAGCATCTGGGCAGTCGCATTTGGACGCAAAATTTTCAACTTGAAACTCCTGAGAGTACCCGCAGAGAAACCAACCACAAGCTTGGGAATTTAAATATACGATATAGCTTAAACGAGCAAAAAAATTTTTGTTAAACATGCAAAAATAATACGTTGAAAAAGCTTGAACATGGCAAGGCCGTTAAACCCGCATTTAAATATATATAGATTATGGCCATCTCATGGTACAAAAATCAGTGTGGTGAAGTTTTAATTTTATTGCTGCTTTTCAAAATAGAAAGAGTAGGTTGAGTGAAAAATACTGAATTTTGCCAAAATTGACTTGATGCAAATTTAATTTGTGAATTTCATTTCCAAAGTTTTATGTTGAAATGAACCCTTCTCGGAGCTGTTTATTTGGTCGAAAATTGCGCAAAATGTACCTGATTGATTTATTAATTTTTTATAAAATAGAATTCTTTATCCAACCCAAAAATATCTGATGTTCGAACTTTCTGTTTTTGAGTGTTTTTTGTTTGTTTCAGAACCAACCTAAAACCAATTTTACTAAATAAGGTGGCAAAACTTGCAAGCAATTAACAAAGTTTTAGCGGATGTTTGAGTAATAATACTCTTCACTACCATCATTGTGCTGGGCCATCATCATACTTACTGGGTGTTTTGTGTAATTAGGAGTCATTAACGTTGTGAACGTTGTGAATTTCTCTGCAATTGTTTATGATATAAAATTAAAATTTTGACATATGCTAGATGAAACTATTGGAAGGGCTTTGTCGGGCCAGAAATTGAGAAATCTTGTTTTGAAGGCGTAAATCAGCCAGTATATCAAAATTAATTTAAGAGGTGTTCTTGCTGTGGAAACACTCTCGCCAACAATAGGAGTTTAAATTTACGGGCTCAAAATAGTTCTTTGAGAAGCTGTTGTGCTTGACTTACTTTTTACGCTGCCAAAAACTGACAGTCAAGAGACTTGAAAGAGCTGTTTGGTCCGGCGTCGAGAAACGGTCATTTCTGTTTTGACCACACACTTCCATTATAAGTTCTTGAGAGCTTTACATGTAAATTGAACAAAATTTATACACAACATATGTGCTACTGATAATTCTGTGCATGGATTGTAGCAGTAATTTTTCCGAAATTTTCGCGGGAACAGTTCTTTCATTGACTTATTTTGATCATTAGCGCAAGTTTATCACGAAATTGTGGCTGTTTTGTTACGACAATTCAAGTAGCTCCTTCAGTTCTCTTAACTGCCAGTTTTAGTCGGCATAAAAAGTAAGTCAAACTCAAACGCTTCCTAAAAAACTAAATTGAGCCCGTAATTCAAATTCCTTATATTGTTTGCGATGTTGTTTCCACAGCAAGAACACCTCTAAAATTAGTTTTGGCAAAAATAACTAGCTGAATTTCGAAAATTAAGAGCGATTTTCTTGTTCTCAGCTTTTTTTTGTCTGAATGTAATTGTCTCATAAGTCAGGCTATTTTTGTTTAATTAGGAGTAATGAACATTGTGTAGACTCTTAAATAGGTATTTGTGATTTTTTTTTCTAGAAAAAGTCCTTAAATGCTCTAATAACCAGATGTGCATTGATACATATTAATGCATTTGTGAATGCAGTTAGGTATATGTACACTTTTTGAGTTCAATTGAATTCCATCTGCTGAAAGTTACGTAAATAGCACTCTCCAAATACGAACTTGGAAATGGCGCAAAAAACCGTGAACGATTTCTAGTTTTGGAAGTGGAATTTAATTTTTAGATTTCCAGCGGAATAAAAACTTCACCCATTGATCCAGTTTTCTCAAGTTGAGTTGTTGTTATCAGAAAAGTGCCAATTATAAATTGTTCTAGAAATTCAAAGAGCCTACTGGGCATCTTTTTTTCTTAGAAGTTCGAAAGTGATATTTTTCAACAAGTCTGTGTTTTTTTCTGTTTAGTTGCGTTCATTACTTTTTTCCAACTGTTAGTTGGCTATGTTTTTAACTATTTTAATTTAATTTTTTTTTTCAAATTCGGGGATTTGTTTATTCTGTAGTCCCCATGGTAAAAATGATGTCATAATCTAGTTCACCTGAAGATCTGAAGAATTTTATCCTGAAATTAATTTGAGTTTTTTTTTAGTTTTGATTTGGATGAAGTTTTGGTTTCTTATGGTTCGTTTGCTTTAGTTAAAAAGTCTATCTGCTTTAAGAGCTTTTCGGTTCTATGTTGTTTTTGTGTTCTGGCTTCGTTATAAAAAAGCTGTGACGTTGATTTGTTTGTATTCTGGTGAAAAGGTCGTCTTCAATGATGTAAAACGTTAATCTTCTCTTTGACTCGTGATATCACTTCTGTCTGAAAGCTCCGCAATAATTAATTGTTGATATTTGGTGGTTTATATTTGTACGTAAAAGATGAAATACCTGATATTACTTCTACGTGCCTTTTTCTGTTTTGATTGTGTTTTCGATTGAACTATTTCACATTTCAACATTTTCCCTGATAAGGCCGCCTCTATTCGATTTGTCAAAATGGAGCTTAAATTGTGTACGTCAATGTAGCTAATTAAAAAGTGAACATGTTTTCACTTTTTTCTTGATATAACAAAAGTTTAAGTTTTCATGCTGAATGATGGAAGTTTTCATGCTGAATGATGGTTTTTTATCTATAACATGTTTTCATCTTTCTAAATTGTATATAACCAGTGTAATCCCCCCTCGCAGATCTTGATGGAATTTAGGACTTTCAGAAACAGCTGCCGCTATGCAAAATGGGACTTGACGCCGATGAACGTTTTGTTTTGAATTGAAATAAAAGAAGGAACATTTCATGTCTCTTTTCCAGTCAACACTAAATTACGATATCCTAAATATATTTTAGATGTTTTTTTTTGCTGTAAAAATTATATAAAAACGCTCTCCGACTAAAACCCTCGTGATGAAACCCCACATATTATAATCCGCAAGGACAGAGGACCAACTGCTCCATAGTGCTCATTTCCAGTGGACAAAATCCCCGACTATTAGTCGATGAACGTAGTAAAGACTCCTATATATGTCGTGATGTTTTTTGTTTTTTTTTTTGTTCTGTTTTAGGAAAAATCTTATGATTTGTTCATGCTTAATTTTGATTTTCGGCTGTTTGATTTTTGGTTGCTTTTGAGATTCAGTCCATTTCCTTGACTTTAGAAAAATTTTAGGGTCGGTCGGCCAAAAGTGGATTTCTTAAAAAGTACCAAAGGGGGGACCCTTTGGGTCGGCAGGGTGTCGAATCCCTGAGGGGGTGGGGGGGTGTCCGCCCCTGTGCAGGGCAATGCGGTGCCGCCAGCAAAGCAATGCTTTCTGTGTTAGTTTCCATAAAAGCGTATCTGGCTCGTGTTCTCGACTATATGACCCGATGGCGGAACTCGCCGTTTCATTTTTAAATACTAATTTGCATTGCTGCTTCGATCTACTGCATTGCAATTCCCATTGTTACCATTTTGGCGTTTTGACTCATGATTTTTTTAAGTTAACTTTGTTAAGGTCTTGAAAAAAGGTGAACAAAAATGGGTTAAACTTTTCTGAATTTCCAGCGGAATAAAAAACTACTGATTTTGAAAATTGATCCAATTTTCTCTAAATGAGATAGCGCTATGAAAAAAAGTGGCAATCGTAAGTGAGTAGCTCTTCACAAAAATCCACGTGTTCTATAAAGTGAATGAAATGTCAGCAAGCGTTGAATTGGCAGAGGCATTGAAGTCCGGAGGCAAAAATTGAATTGCTAATTGGATATTAAAGTGATTATGCGCAAACTGTTGTCACAGCTGTTAGATTAGTCAATAGACTGGTCGGATCCGCGGTTATTGTTCCGACTTTCGATACGAAAGTAACGGAATATTTGTGCTCCGTGTGGGTTTTTTTTTTGTCTTCAGACAAATTTCGACTTTTTAACTAGCCATTTTTGACGGAATTTTTAAAATATCATTCAAAAGCTATTGTTGCACTGAGATTAAATTTGAAAAGATATTTCACCTGTGATCATTTTTCGTAAAGTTATGGGGGTTTAAAGATTGGCATTTTTGCCAATTTGGGACAATTAACGCGCGATATATTTCGCGCTATTAAAGCGTAAGCGGAGGTTTAATCCGTCTTAGAAATCGTTCCAAATTGGTTGAAGGAAGCTTATTTGCCATAATTGATTCGTTACTAGAAGCGAAATTTATCACTTTGTTCTTTATATGGCGTTGTTCTTTATAAAACTGAAAATATGGCTTTATATTTTCAGTTTTTTTTATCAAGTTTTTTCAAGTTATTACTGCTTCATAGACCTTAAAAGGCAGTCGGAACATTCAGGGCTTCGCCCTGATACGAGCAGTCTTGTTTTATTTTGGCGAAACTGGGAGAGATTCCAAATAATTTTCAACGCCGATCAATGATTTTAAAATTTCTCATGCTTGAAACACCGAATGCCTGAAAATTGTGTTTGCTAGTCCTTTAATTGCCATTCGTTTTCAATAGTTCATCTTCAACTTCTGGGCTATTTAGTGATTTATATGGAGAAATACATTGCCGGGAAATAGTTGCAAAAATTTCGAAGAGCGCATTAGAAGGACTGACATCACGTCAAAATGTGCATGTGCATTTAGCAGATACAAACTTAGTAGTTAAACTTTCGACACAAGTTAGGATGAAAATCAGTCGGTGTTGGGCAATCGACACAACTATACTTAGTTACATGATGAGTAAGATTGAGTGGTGTGTTTATGTGTTTAGTATTCTGCGAGTGTGGGATGGCTGTGTCGGGAGAAGGTGTTCCAGCTGCCACTCTGGTTCTGGACTCTCCTCCTCGTCTTCCTCGCTATCCCCTACTGCCTCTTCTCTCTACTCAAACGGGTAAACGAACTTTCCTGACCAATTTTTCATCAAGTATATAATTCATTGATCATTCTAAAATTGAGAAAATATCGGTGAACTTGAGTTTTTATATCATTCTCGTCAAGCCGCTAATTTATTCTCTCTTAATCTTTCCTGAGATTATTAGTCCGTTATATGCTCCATTTTTACCAAAATGAATACGAAGTGAAGTCTCCGCGTGTATTGCTCAAGTAACTTATTGAAAGGAGTTTTTTTATATGGCAGTTAATGAGCGATTTTTCAACTAGCTTCAATTGAAATTCTACACGGAAAGACAGGCATTATTTGCTTCTCGGCAAAAAAGAAGACTCTTTTATTCGTGAAGTCGTTTGGACTTCGTTGAATGTCGTATTGAAATGATTCACATTTTAGAAATTCTTGGTTTTAATCTTGAAAACTCCATGACTTTGGAAATATAATAGTCTGTATAATTTGCTTTTGCCTATTTATTTGCCATTTGTTTTTTTCTCATCTGCCGGACGATTGCAACTCAATGTCTTCTATTCTGCCAGAAAGACTGAACAAATTACGGATCTACTTAACAATCTCCTCCCCCCCTATGGTACCGACTTAAGAATCTCCACCCCTATAAATAAATACAGTAAATTAGCACTGAGCTTTCTATTGAGAATTATAATTTTGCTGCATTCTGATTGGTTGAAAAATCGACCATTTTCACCTACTTAACAATCTCCCCCCTTTCTTGAAAGGGATGGAGATTGTTAAGTAGATCCCAAATTACAATGAATTCAAAATGCGACTGCTAGGCTTGCTGACAAGGCCAGGCGTAACTGTCGCACCAGTCCATTCCTCAAAGTTACATTGACTTCCAGTTATACCAAAGGTACATTACGAACGTCGTGTGTCTGATGTTCGAAAATCACCATAAAAGTGTCCCATGCTATCTGACTAGTTTCTTTTTTGCCCAAACCCTCACGAAGATCAAAAAGAAGAAGGAATTATGAAGAAACGATCTGCCCCTCTGAACTACACAAGAGGTCGATTGTTGATAATTGAGCAGTCACATGGAACGCTCTGCCTATTTTGTGCGCAATTTGAATATTTGCGAGAAATTCAAACGAGATCGCAAGACGAATTTATTTTGCTAAGCATTTTGATTATACTGCATCTTGGTGAGAAGAATAGGTGGTAAAGCCATCATCATTATCATCATATGGGCGGAAATGTTTAGTTGAAGCCTCGATGCTTTTTCCTTTGATTCGGTTTTTCAAGAAGTGTTGTAAGTTCGTGCGTTGAGTGATTGTTTTTTGTTCACAGGCGTTCACCGACAATGATCCGCTGGCTACAAACGTGAAAGAATTTGAAAGACGACAACTGTCTCTGTTGAGGGAAAAAGCGGACATGAAACGCAAGATTGATTCATTCGACTCCGAGGTATTGAAGTTGCCCAAATTGTTAAATACGCATTTAAATATACGAAGTAATTTGAGGTGAAATAACTATTTGATAAAGTAAGTTTTTGATAAAGCGGTTGTTTTTATGCAATAATGTACCCAGATACATTGTTGAATGCAGTTTATATCACCTTGGAGGTTGATACAGCATTTGCCAGCAAATAATTATTTTTTAAAAATCACGTAACTTGTAGTTGCATGGAAGTTATCGGCACCATTACAGCGTATGTTGATTGTTTTTCTGAAAGATAACGGGGCTTGATTACGTTGATATACTCCCCCATGGTTGGTCCTGCATTGAGCAGGACCGGAGGCTAATAAAAAACGTTTATATAGTTTTCTGTTGATTCGTTTAGAAAGAGGCTTTCGCCGAAGAGTTCGACAAACTTCGACAGGCGTTTGAGAACCTGAAGGTGCAATACGGGAATCTGATGGGCGAAAAGGCAAAGTCAGACTCGGAAGTTAAAACAGCCGCCAATCTCATCAGACAACTGGAGGTAAGTCAAAAGGTGTTCTATCTTGGTGTTGTTCTGACCCCCAAAGCGTAAGAATTTTTTACTCTTCAGGTGTTTTTTTTGCGCTCAGATCTAGGTATCAGGATAAACTTCAAATAGGGCCAAAGGAAATTAAGGCCTTTTTAGTCGTGGTTCAAATTGCAATGAAAAGTTTTGGTAAAAAAGTTCTCAATGTTGAGAAAGGCCGGAAGTTTTTGCTTTTTCATTTTATTTAAATATGGTTTTGGGGGGTGGTCTGGCCTGAACTTATGCTGCAATATTTAGTTGCGTACAACCGAAAAATAGCGTTAAATATTTTCTCAATCCTTGTATGATTAAAGATATATTAATTCATTTAATATAATTGATACGCTGGACCAGTTTTCTTTCAAACAGTCTTCTTTCAAAAACTGTGAAAGAAATTGTGACTACTTAATAAATGCGTTACCGAGTCATGGGTGTTTTAGGAGGACAACCAACGCAATATGGCCATTGTGAGACAGATGGAAGGAGAATTATTGGAGACCAAACAGCTCTATGAGCAGGAAGTGGCCGCCAAAAAACACAAGGAAGAGGATTTGTTCCAGGTTAAACAAAGAATTTTTTAAGAGTCGTTGAACGCAGTTGAGACTCTTAAGTAGGTCACGATGGTCTTTTTTTCGTTTTTATTTTCAGGAAATTTGTTCAGGCTCTAATTTACTTTTGCGCGGTTTGACTTTTGATTTTTTAATTTCATTTCCATTATTAAAAGGAAGACTAACTCCTTTATCGAACAGCAAAAATGTTAAAGGTCCCGAAAAACGTGATCGACTTCTAGATTTGAAAGTGTGATGTAATTCGAAAATTGAGGTTTTTTCATAAAACAAGTCAGTGTTTTTTGTTTACATGCATTCATTAACTCTTTTCCAACTGTCTGTTGGCTATGGTTAAAGATAACGTGAAATGTTTTTATTGCCCCTTTTCCTCTGTAAATTGCAGCTTAAGTTGGTCCACACTTCGAAATTAGTGCAATTGCAGCTTGTTGGAGACTTGTCTTCAATCGAGGAAAGTTCAACTTGATAAAGTTCATGAACGGTGTATGAAAAAAAACGACACAGCAGGGATGAAATAAACTTTTTATGTGCCAAGGAGTTATTTGCTGCCACTGCTTTGTTAATTTCATTCTGGAAGTATAATTAATTATTTGCTGAATGTTTGAATTGTTTCCAGCTCAGCCAGAAGTCTTCGAGCATGTCAGAGTCGTGTGGGGTGCTGCAGGAGCAAAATGCGAGACTCCGAATCGACTTGGAAGCACAGCACGAACAAATTCAGTCGCAGAGGCAACACTCAGAGGCCTTGCAAGCAACGTAAGCAACTTCACTTTTGATGGACTTCACACATTTCCTCCCTCAAACTTTTCCAGTCTGAAACTTAATAGCGCATACCACCTCGTCTTAAGTCTCAGACACTATGTGCAGTGAAGAGTGTGAAGCGAGTCGTGAGAGGGTCGAAACATCCCGTGTTCATTTTTAATTTATTCCACAAGAGAAGCGTCAATTTTTCTGGCTCATTTTTCGGGAAAGAGGAGCAGTTACAGCTCTAAACGTGCCGCTGAACTGCACATTTCTATGTTCCAAATATAGCACTTCTGGAGTCATTGCAAGAAGCAGTCAAAAATACTGAAATTTGTTTTTTTATATACTGTTTTTTTTAGAAGTTCCTGGGGTTTTTGCTTAACGAATAAAGAGGGGTTGAAGATTGCGTGTAAAGATCTCATTTGATCACCGTGTTTTGTTCAGACTTCGATTTCAACTGCTAGCTTTGCCATGAAGACAAAAAAGCCACGGATTAGTTCTACTCAACTTCATCAAGAAAAAATTAACCATTCAATTTTCTAGAAATTTGCCCAACAAAAAGAATTTAGAAAGTTTGGTTTGCAATGCTTATTATTGGCTGACTTGTGTCATTTTTCCTTCCAGGGTTTTCCATTCTTTCCATTTTTCAGAATTGAGCAATTGAACGCGGATAGAGATGGACTGGGGAAGAAATTGGCCTTGGTTGAGTTGGCGGCAAAGAGCAAGGACGACGTGATAGAGAAACTGCAGGAAGACATTAAGGTGAGGAAAGAAATCATTATTCCCATGTTTCAATGTCTAAACTTCTTCCATGAGGTATAACAAAGGGTTGATATAACAAGTGAAGCCGACTCCTGGAACTTTAGTAAACTTTTTTTCGAATGCGGCCGGGACCCGTTTTTTCTTCTGCAAACGAGAGTTTGTTGATTTTTGTCGGCTTAGTTCCCGTGGCGAAAGGTTCAGCTTTCCTCCAGGTTGCTGTAACACCTATGCTTGAGACGACAACACCAGTGGGTTTGATTCCAGTCCGGACCTGTTTTTTTTATTCAAAATGAAAATTTTAGGCTATTTTATTGCCTGCCTTAGTTAATTATTGTCTAGTTTTGTGGCCATTTTAGAGTATGTATATTTTTGTCGCCTTAGTTGCAGAGAAAGGACTTTTTTTGTTCTCAAAAAGTTCGGCTTCTTTCTATCATTGCAAAAGCTCCTTGTAAATTTTATAACGGTGCTGGTAATTTTGTTCCGGATATTTTGGGCTCAGCAAATTTTGTTCAAAAAATTGACAACTATGATTTTGTCATGCATTTTTGTGTCGCAAGTGATGCGAAGCTCAGCGTCGCACCTCTCTGTTGAATATTTGCTAATTGGTTTTTTTTACCTCGGAGATAAATGTTGACTTTCTGCTGTGTTGAGTAGGTGCTAAAGCGAACCCTAGCAAGTAGTGAAGTGCAATCTATTCTGAGCGGAAATAATGGTAATGGTAGTGGAGGAAGCAAAAGGAAGAAGTCTTCAGTAACTGCAGCGAACAAAGAGGGCAAAGAGAAAGAGGAGAATGGAGAAGGGTGGGATGAGTTTGATGCCGACTTGGACACTGACAGTGGAGACGGCGATGATGAGAAATCAGCGGCAGAAAAGATCGAACAGATATTCAACGCCGCCAAGGTTTGTTAAAGTAGCAAATAGACGCATATCAAAAATGTTCCGAGTGCAGATATTTGGATTTTTCAGTGGTAGTCGGAAATATTAATTTAACTGGGATCATAATTTTGTAGTTTTATTATTAGGAGTCCTATTAAAAGACCACTAGATATACTCATTATTCATTACAAGTCAACTACGATCCGTTTCAGATTAAGGAAGAGCTGGAGGCTCTGAAGTCATTGCATTCAGAGATAGTGGCCAAACTCCAGGAACAAACGGACAAGGCAGCTGCATGCGAAGGTAATTTATTCGTGACTCAAATCTCGAGGTCGCTGGTTTGAATCCGACACATAGCTAAAGTTTTGTTAATTCCAGGCTTATTTCTACTTTTTCTTTTTTATAGAGCTGCATTTTCATTTTCTCGCTTGTGTTTGCAAAGCGGAGCCTCGTCTCTGTGTAAATATTCGAAATACGATATCTCTTTTGACCCTTTGCATAGGTTTAATACGTCGATTGAAGTTTCATGAATTCTTTTTCCTCAGAAATAATCTGCAGAAATTGGCTTACAAGTTAAATTGCCCACTTACAGTGCCCATAGTACTGGTATGAGATCTATTGTGAAAGGTTTGGAGTATTTATAGCAAAAAAGTTGTTGTTTTTGATAGTTTTTCTCTGTATAGCTCAATCAGTGAAAACTCTTATAGAGGTCGTGATGATTTTTTTCCCTGGAAAACTCTTGAAATTTGTTGACGCTTAAGTTTGGTTTTTGCGGTTTGTCTTTTGATTTCTGGTTAAGTTAACTTTATTTCCTTGTTTACACTTGCGAAGCGAGTGTATTAGTATGAACTTTCTTTTTTTTCCTACCTAAGTCGCAAATAAAAGTTAGCAAAATAATGTGATATGTGCTTTAACATTTGATTAGTAAGAATTTAACACAGTTGATGCATTTTTAATTCATCAAATGAACCGAAAAAGTTAATTGTTTCAAACAGCAGTAGAATGATAAACAGCTCAATTTCAGAAATTTTCCACTTCAATGAATCTCGCACTTTTTTTGAGATGCAAAATGTATACATTATTTGGCTTTATGCTTTTCAATTTATTACATGCAATATTTTGTCTTCCTGTATTTGGTACCCCTTTTGCGGTATCGAATTGGCAATTTATTAGCTTAAGTAGCCTGGTGATAAGTGGCTAGTTTTTGGGGAACTAAAGCATCCGTGGCTGAGTGGATAGTGCGTGAGACTCAAAGTTTCAAGATTGCATTGTCAAACCACCCTACGCGCAGCCGAGTTTTTGCTAATTCGAGGCTTGTATCTACTTTTTTTTACTTGATAGAGCTGCTTTTTGGTCGTGTTCTCGCTTCGCCTCTGTGTAAAATGAAGTTTTCAGAAAATTGCTTAGCTTAATCAGAAAAGCAACAGTTCTTGGAATTCTAAGAGCCTTAAGGCCATACATTCTTTTTCTTCGAAATTTGAAAGTGGAGATATTTTAAAACAAATTCTAAATATTTCCACTAATTAAAAAAAATTCTAAATAAATTCTAAACTAAAAATCCCAAAACACCAGTAGTTTTTTGTTACTCGGGTTTATTTTTTTTCCATCGGTATATTGACTATGCCTATGATTATTGTTGCGATTCAACTTCTTCATGATAATAATCTCTTGCTTACATTCAAAAAAATGTTAAGGTAAAATTACTCTAATTGGTTGAAGGTAAAAAAAATTAAGGTAAAATTTACCCTAACATTACATTAACTTTACCTTAAAAAATATTAAAGTAAAATTTACCCTAACTGAATTAAGGTAATTTACTTTAACTTAACTTTAACTTTAACTAAAAAATATAGGAATGAATTTAACTAAACAGGAAGAAGGGAATTTAAGATAAACATTGGATCTCGTAGTCAACCTATCAAAATTTCAATTCAACCATATAAGGAAAAAAGTTTCTTTATGTATATATGTATGTATTTGTGTGTGTATGTATGCATGTATGAATGTATGTATGGATATTTAAGGTGTTTTTGAAGGCTGATGCACCTTAACTTTTAGGGTGATTTAAGGTAAATTATTCAGGTGTTTTAAGGTAAGTTAAGGTGTACTTAAGGTAGTGCAAATTTACCTTAATTTTTAAGGTGTTTTAAGGTATTTTTTGAAGCAAATTTACCTTAATTTTTTTTGAGTGTACAAATAGTTTTTGTTCGTCATTTAAAATGAGATGCTTTGTTTTGTTGCAGCTCGTGCAGTGTCGGCTGAGAGTAAACAGAATGAGAGTGAGAAACGACTGGGGAAGAAGACTATTGAATTCGAAGTGGTTCAGAGGTAAAAAAAAATAAGCTCCTTTGCCCCGTCCCCACCGCCCCCGATTTATTACTAATTCAATTGTTCTTCTTGTCCGATTGTAATTAAGTTTGGCATTTGGTCTAATTAATATACTAGTTACTAGAAAGAATGAAAGAAAGAAAAATTTCTCCGGTCATTCGTTACATAAATTTGGCAATTCATCGTTATAAGTAATTTTTAAAATGAGACTCGGAGAGGATAGACAACGGGGCCATATGACCCACAAACCCCTACCCTAGCTATGCATGCTTTTTTCGCTATCAGGAAAAGATTTTTTTTTAATGTTTTTTAGAATTTGTTGAAAATTTGTAATTTCATCCATATCTCCTAAGCTGACTAAACATATTTACTATTTATACGCAGTTTTGTAGTAAATTTGAGGCTAGTGTAAAGTGGGGAGGGTTTAGGTAGTAAAGACTACTGAAAAGAAGTCGCTTGGCAGTGAAACTGATTTTCTCATTATGCATAAGACCCAAAAAGACTCTTTTTACTCGAAATTTCGGAGCCGCGGTTCGAATATGCTTTTTTGCCTCAATGACTCAAAATTAATCTGTATTGGCATCTAAGGCGCATGTACAAAAATTCAGAATTGGTCAGCCAAAATTGGACTTCGCCAAACAATTTCATACAATATTTGGCTATAAGTTTCTAGCTTGAAATTATAATTGTTATACTTTTCAATGGTTTCACGTTTTTAAGGTTATGGAAATCGACAGAGGCGGAGTTGAGAAAGGAGATAGGAGAGATGCAACAACAGAAGTTCCAAATCAACCATTTGCTGAGCACGGCCGAAACAGTCAAGCACTCGGCCACCGAGAGCTCACTGTCATACAAGTCAGTTTTTTCACTTGAATCTTGTTTCTTTTATAAGAGTCATGAACGTATTAAAGACTCTTATATAGGTCTTGGTGATTTTTTTTGTTTTTTTTTTCAGGAAAAAGTTCTAAAATTTGTTCACGCTCAATTTCACGTTCAATTTTGATTTTCTCCAATTTGATTTTTAGTTAAGTTCACTTCATTTCCTTCGTTAAAAGGAGGCAAACTCCACTATCGAACAGCAAAAGTGTAAAGGTCACTAAGAAACATGATCGACTTCTAATTTTCAAAAAAGGATTATAGTGTATTAGCTCAGTGCTCTCAAAATGGATTAATTTTATCAAAAAAGCGTCCATCATAATTGTTCGTGAAATTCAAAGAGCTTAAAAGACAGTTATTTATTCTTTAAAATTCGAAAGTACAAGTTTTTTCAAAAAAACAAGTCAGTTTTTTTTTTCTGATTCCTTGCGTTCATTTTTCTTTTTCAACTGCCAGTGGGCTATGTTTTTGAATCTGGTTCACTGTACTAATTAGTAAGATCAATGATGCTGTATTAAAGCGCCGATAAATAATTGACTCCTGTCACCAAGAATTTTCTAGTACTAAAAACACATCCGTCAGTTTATGCGAGCGAAGTCAATTCTTACTGCCTGTTGGCTGCGATTTGACAAAAAAACTGGACTTGGGCTGAGCAATCAGAAATTTCAGTACAAGTCTTATTTGGAAAAATCATTGAATGTTAAAAAATAGCGGAAATACAGAAAGTCAGTAGAAAGTTTTTCCAAAGGATAAGGAAGGAACTAGAAGACATGGGCTCTTTATATCGATAAGATCAAGCTTGCAGAATAATGGACCGTGGTTTTATATTTGCAGACAACAGGCGGAAGAGATGCGGGCGCTTCTGGAGACGACGGAGGCTAGAAATAAGGAAGACATCTCCAAACTGGAAAAGTCACTTCACACATCATGGGTAGGCAGTATGCGCCCAATTCAAGAACAAAAAAGCACTAAGAAATCTAAATCTGCAATTAGTCGTGCTGCCACTAAGATTTCATTATACTCGCAATCCTTTCGTCCAGTCATTTTTTGCTGGTTTCTTTTTCAGATCAACTCGCGTAAACTGGAGCAGAAACTGCAGCTGATGCAACGAGATAATGACATTCTAAGGAAAAGGTAAAAACAAACGTTTTCAATTTCTGCTGGTGAGTTTTATTGGTTTCAGTGTTTCTGGTTGCGAAATTGTATAATTATTTTTACCAAGAACGTTTCGAACAAAATATGAGATTCAACATTGAAACCGCAATATTAACTGAAATCAATTGAACTCTTTGAATCCTGTCCGCTAAACCTTTTCACCTGTTTCAAATGTAATTTTTAATTGCCTTCTGGAGCAAATTTTAAACAATTAATATTTAGACTGACGCACGTGGATGCCGACAGCGTTCCGGATGAGGAATCACCCGCTCCCAAAGGGTCCTCCACCTCCAGGTCAAAAGGTATGAAGTTCGATGGTCATACATCCATGAATCATCATCCATGAATGAAATCAGCAATGTAAGAGGTATTTTCGTTCGGTATTTTAGGAAAACTAGTATTTTTTCACTTAATTACCAACTGTACCAAGTTTATGGACATTTTTTTCTGCGTGACCTTGATGACCAAATTGCATGCTTAATCTTCATTTTAATAAATTTGTCCGGAAGTGTAAAACGGAGCCACAATTTCGTATCAGCGAGTAGCGAACTTTTGCTGATTGAACCCCGTATTTTGTATAGTTCATTTGCGCAAGTGGTTTTTTAGCGAAGTATTTCTTTTTTATGGTGTATGGGTTTGTTTCAGAGGGCGCTAGGAAGTCTTCGGGTAACCAAAGTTCAAGAAAGACCAGGAACAGGCGCTCCAGTTCGCCGACATATACCGGTGAGCGATATGATATGTTCATGGAGAAAGATAATAATGCAGTTTGGAAAGGGCAGCTGGTTAATATGCGAATAGCAGGAGGTGTTCGCATTGGATCTAAAAAATGTGTAACTGTTACATAATAGTTTTTTTTAGCAAATGAGTAGCAGTTATGAAAGTGTGTAACGATTGTTACATTTATGCTAGCTTGTTTCAAATGACATTATTTACGGCTGGTTCATACTTCGGATGGTTAATGCACACTCGACTAAATGTTCAACTAACTGAGTGTTATTGAGCAAACTAAAGTTTCATTTGCCAAGTGTCAATGAACGAAATGATGACACTTATTTAGATCGTTTGGTTTTTCACGATCAAAATTAATTTTTTATGCGGTTTGATATTGTTTGGAATTTATTATTGCGACCATTGAAAATGGGGAGGAACTTTGTATTCGGGTGTGTTTTAGTTCTTTGTTTTCCACGCAAAATCAGGTACCACAAGTAATGATCGGACTGGGTTGAGTGATATATCATAGTAAAGCCCTTACAGTCGTGATTCGAACCATATTATTTCGAGAAATTTTTCCCAGTCTGTTTTAATTTTTTGTTTCATTTTAATTGCATAAAAGCTTATAATAGCTTAATTTAAAACGTAAAAACTTAATTTTACTTGGGTAACAATAGTTAAGTTTGAGTGTTTTAGCGCCTTTTTGGAATCAAATTTTTCAAAATTCAAACAACTGCAAAAAACTGCAAAGCTTGTGTTATAGTATTAACTGTCTTTTTTTCAATCTAAGTCGCAAATATTGTTCATTTTGATCGATAACCAATATCAAGCTATTGAGTGCCGCCTATTAAGCGTTGGCTGTACTTAAACAAGCTATTAAGTACAGCCAATGCTAAAGATATTAACACAGACTATTATATGACAAATAGCACTTTAGCTTCCAACTATCATGGATCTGTAGCGTAGAGGTAGGGAAGGCGACCAGCAACAAAATAAGAGGGTTCGAACCTGGAAAGGGTCGGATGTTTTTAATTAACTTTTTCGTATACTAGTTAAAATGCGTCCGCTCTAAAAATTGAGGTATGTTTGTTGGTAAGTTTTTTTTTCAAATTGACTGGTACTGCTAATGCATCATAATAAGCTTGCGTCACTTAGCAATTATGTAGACTCATAATTGGTGTGCGGCACTTAAAAAGTTTTGTAGACTCAGAATTTTACTCATTCAGTTTTTCCCAGTAGCGTTATCGGTCATATTTTGCTTGTGTATGCGAAGTGCAACTTCGCCTCTGTGTTCAATTTAATTTTCTCTAAGCAATGCAAATTTTGCTAACCAAAAGTGTGCAAATAGCACTAAAAGATTTTAATGACTTCAGTTTCAAAAGTAGAGTTTATTTTTCAGATTTCCCAGCGGAAAAGAAAAATTATTTATTGATCCAATTTTCTCAAATTTGGTTTGTTTTATCGAAAAAGTGACGAGCAAAAATCTTTATGAGTGTATATATTATGTTCTTAAAGTTGTTCTTATTAGATTTATGAAAGTATTTTCTTTTCTATAAAACTTTATTAAGTGTAAAAAACGACGTGAAGATGGCTTTTTTTTTTTTTGCTAAAACAAAGACAACAGGTAATTGATTTTCAATTCTTTTTAAGGCTGTTTTTGAACTTTTTTTCTACACACCCATGAAGTTTTTGTAGCTGTATCTTTTTCAGCTTTTCAGGTTATTGTTTATAGTTATTTTTTCAATTAAATTGTTCAGAAATTTTTAGGGTATCTTTTCAACCTTTTTTTTCTCAAGCAAAGCTTGTGTGGTAGTATGAACCCTCTTTTTTCCAACTAAGTCGCAAATATTAGTATTCGTTTTGAAAATGTTCTTTTATTGCAGTATGTGCATAAGATCAATAACCAGCTATCAAGTACAGCCAATGCTACGGATATTAACACAGACTATTATACAAATAGCACTTTAGCTTCAAGGTATCATGGATCTATAGCGTAGAGGTAGGGAAGGAAACCTGTAACAAAATAAGAGGTTTCGAACCTGGGCAGGGTCGGATGTTTTTAATGAACTTTTTCGTACACTAGTTCAAATGCGTCCGCTCTATAAATTTAGGCATGTTACTTGGTAAATTTTTTTTTCAAATTGGATGGTACTGCTACTGGGTCATAATTGCCTTGCGTAACTTACCAATTATGTAGACTCATAATTGGCGTGCGTCACTTCAGAAATTATGTAGACTCAAAGTTTTACTCTTTCAGTTTTTCCTGTAGCATAATCGGTCATATTTATGCATGCATACTTCGCTCTGTGTCAGGTTTTTTGCGTCGCATCTGTTGTATTAATTTAGTCTGATTAGCGAAAATGCAGACTGGTTTTTTTCGCACTTTAAGAAAATTTTGAAATAAATGAGACACGTTTCGGCCAGACAGCTTTAATGGCGCGTTATGCTCCTCACACATCTCGCTTCATATTTATTTGCTTGACTATTTGCAGAAATTTACAATTTCTAAGAGGGTTGTTTCGTGCAGACCCTTTGAAATAATTTTTAATGTTTCGAATTACTAATGAAAGGGTTTTTATAAGCTACAACACTCGTTCCTTTCATGAACGGCGTTGTAGCTTATATGTACTGGTAGAGCTTCATGTTTTCCGTTAAAAAAATCCTCCAAAGGCCAAAGAAGCTCATTTTTACTTCGTTAATTTTTGCGGAGCAATGCTTTTTCTATTTTACATCTAAATTATAAAATTGCTTGAATTTGACAGATGAAAACCGCGAGAGAAACGTGTCGTTTGAAGGTAAATCAAATAAGAACATGCTAAAAATTTATATGCCTATTAATTTGAGCGGGTGGGTATATGGGCTACTAATTAGCAATCCAGGTATCAAACGGGTAAATCTTCTGGTTAATGGTTGTGAATCTTCTGGTTAGCACTTGTGATTTTTCATTTAGGCGAGTTGTTTACTGAGCCAGGGTGAAATCTTCAATACATGGCTATTGATGAGAATTAAAAAAGGAAAAACAAATCGTTTTGTAACCATGATCTGTGTATGTGGCTGATCAATTAATAGACGAACGAACTTTTTTATAATAAAAATAAAACGTTATTTTTTAGTTGTCATTTGTCTTAAATAACGATGTATTTTTATATTTGGTTGGGTGGTCGGGAGTTATTTCGAGGTGGTAGATAACTGCTATTGTATCAGTTTGACTCTAGCGCGTACTTCATATGATCAAGTTGTTGTGTGTTTGTGTTCAGACGAGTGGATGGGATTCGACACTTCCATGCCCATGTTGCCGCCCCCTCCCCCTTTCTTGCCGATGATGGGCATGCCCCCTCCTCCTCACCACCCAGGGGCCAATGGAGGGGCGCCCCCACACATGATGATGCCCCCACATGGAATGCCAGGGGATCCCATGCATGCATTCAATCCAGCCAATCACAACGGAATGTTCGACAATTTCATGATGGCAGCATATACGGTATGAACAATTTGTATGTTCTATAGATCATTCATTACTGTGCTAATAGGCAGTGATCACGTCAGATAATTGCATTAGTCTCTTATACTTTGTTCCACATGCACTGTTCTATTTTTAATGTGAATATATCCAATATATACGATATTTCAGATCTTGTTAACTACCCCCCCCCCCCCCCCTATGGTACCTTGTAACAAATATCCCCCTTGTTCAGAAAGAATTGAACAGTTAAGCATATACGCTTTTTGCAATAGGGGTAGAATGGTTAACAGGATCCAGACGACGCCGCCTTCCAGTGGTGGATCCGACATCTTGGGCCCCACCAAGATGCAAATGGCGTCAAGCCCCCCCTCCCATTGGGTCGGGAGAAGCTCCGAAGTCTCCGGGTTTTCGGTTACGGAGCGTCTGAAGCCGGCCAGGCTGCTCCGTCTGCTCATCCTTATACTACTACTCCGCTCCGGCATTAATCCAAACCCTGGTCCAGGGCCTTACTTTTGCTCCCCTTGCTCTTTCCGCATCAAACGCACCCAGCCCAGCGTCTGGTGCCACATCTGTGGTTACATTCACCTTAAATGTAGTGGTCTTACCCACCTTAACCAACACCACCTTGACTACTATTGCCCTACCTGTACCTCTACCTACATTTTACCTCCCCCAGGCACCAGGTCCTCTAACTTGACCACCCCCAACTCCCAAACTTGTTCAACTTCCCTAACCGCCCCCCAACCCCACCTCCCTAACCCCCCTCCCCCTCCCACCCTTCCCACCTCCTCGAATAATAATTCCTCCTCCCAAAATCGCGCAAATCGTAATCGTGTAAATAGTGTAAATAACTCAAGTTCAAACAACCATTTTAATCATACTGCTGTTAATAATGTAAATAGTTCACCACACCCTGCCAAAGGCCTTTTAAAAATCCTTCAATTTAATTGCAACGGTATCTCCGGAAAAGCACCCGAAATTGCTGCTTTCTTATCTCAAAATCAAATTCATATTGCTGTCTTCCAAGAAACTAAATTAAGAAAGAAATCTCGAAACCCCTCACTTGGCTCACACTACACTTTAATTAGAAAAGATCGAGAAAAAGAAGGGGGCGGTCTTCTCATAGCCATACATGAGTCGATACAATACGAAGAAATAAATATTAACAACGATGGAACACTAGAGGCTATGGGCATATCAGTGGTAGCCAGTTCATCCAAGCTTCGTATTTATAATTTCTACATCCCCCCTCGCTCGAGCTGTCCCCCTGGTTACTCTGCGTCCCTTGCCGAACTACTTGAACCTGGGGACGCCTTAGTACTCGGAGATGCCAACGCACATTCACAACTATGGAACTCCAACATCGAGGAAGATCAACGCGGCTCTGTACTTAGCAATGAAATAACCGAATCCACCTTTGCTCCATTAAATGATGACACACAAACCAGAGTCCCTTTTAACTCAGAAAACCAACTCTCGTCACCAGATATTTCCCTCGCATCCCAATCGCTCTTACTCTCCACATCATGGACCCCAATTAAATCTCTAGGATCAGATCACCTACCCATTCTTCTAGAACTACCCTTGGATGATTTTATAAATTTTTCGCCTAAAAGGACTTTTGTAAATTTTTTAAAAGCAGATTGGATCAAATTCACAGAGGAAATTGAGGAGGGTTTCTTTTCAGCGGTTCCACCTTCCGGAGTTGCCGCTGGAGAGAAATTCTTGAGGGACCTGGTGCTCAGGGCAGCACGCCACCACATCCCCGCTGGCCGTATTCGCCACTTCACTCCCTCTCTTTCCCCCGAGTCCACTGCCCTAGCCGCCGAAAGAGATTTAAGCCGAAAACAAAATCTCCCCCCAGAAGTCATATCCCAACTGAACTGTAGACTCATGAAACAGACAGCAAAGGACAAAGAAAATAAATGGCGAGAATTCCTCCGGACTTGCGACTACCGCACTGGTGCCAGAAAGTTCTGGAAAGTGGTACGCTCCTTAAATGGATCTAAGCCCGTGGCAGGAAGACACCCCATTACTTTTGGCTCTAAACCCATACACTCACCTCGTGATATTACCAGCTCTTTTAACAAACAATTCACCAATGCCAGACCCCACGCCTCTGACAAACTCCTTCGTATAACGAGAAGAAAAATTGCCAAACTACCACTGTCAGACAGCCCAATTTTTACCCCTGAAAATACTAAACAAGCCATTGCAGACAGCAAACCATCGCGAGCGCTAGGTCCCGACGGCCTCTGTAATATACATCTTAAACATCTCGGCCCACTTGCTACTCAATACTTAACATACCTTTTTAATATCTCTTTGTCCGAAAACATTATCCCCCAAATTTGGAAAAATTCAAAAATTGCACCGCTTCCAAAGCCCAATAAGGATCTTAAACAATCAACATCTTACAGACCTATATCCTTACTCTGCCCAGCAGTTAAAATTCTGGAGAGGCTCGTTCACCCCATCTTTACCAAACATCTCCCCAACGCCAAACACCAACACGGCTTCCGCCCTTTTCACTCCACCACCACAGCTCTCTCCACTCTCGAATTTTACATTTCAGACGGTTTTAACCAAAATCGCCCCCCTAAACGTACGGTACTGGCCACACTTGACTTATCTAAGGCTTTCGACATGGTGTGTCATCGCTCACTTGTGGAACTCGTTCATGACACTCCCCTCCCAAGAAGTCTAGTCCGCTGGCTAAGTAATTACCTTAATGGTCGACAGGCTGCCACCTCATTCCGTGAACACACATCCCCCCATCGAATAATCCACTGTGGCGTACCCCAAGGTTCTGTTTTATCACCCACACTCTTCAATTTTTATGTCCATGATGCACCGCCACCTCCCGATAATGTAAACCTTGTTTCGTATGCAGACGATTTCCACCCCTTCGCAAGCAGTTCCAATATTGATATCGCCTCAAACTCCCTCAATAGCTACCTAAAAAGGCTCTACGATTTTTTCACCTCACGCAAACTAAGTTTCGCGTCCTCTAAAGGATCAGTTACACTTTTCTCCTCTTATAACAAAGAATTTAATAAAACACCTAGTGTTCTTTTAAATAACGAGGCGCTACCCCTAAACAAAAATCCAACAATCTTAGGGGTGACATTTGATCCAACACTTTGTTTTGCCACTCACTGCAAACAATCCGCTGAAAAGGCCAGACGCAGGATCGGAATCCTGAAGGCATTAGCAGGATCAACCTGGGGTCACTCCAAAGAAACCCTCCTCCTAACTTTTAAAGCTTTAATTCGCCCCATACTTGACTATGCAGCCCCCGCATGGTCCCACGCATCAAGTAACACCTCCATAAATTGCCTGCAGGTTGCCCAAAACCAATCCCTTCGCGTTGTTACTGGATCAAATCTAATGAGTTCAACTGCCCACCTGCACAGTGAATCTGAAATCCTAACGGTCAAAGACCACCATACCCTTCTGTCATCTCAATTTTTTATCTCTACATATCGTTCCCACCATCCCATTAATTTTATACATTCACATCCCCCTCCTCCCCGTCTACTTCGCCCCTCAATTATAAGCTGCTTCAAAGAAGACACCCAGAAAATTTTAACCGACTTTTCAGTCTACGCAAACCACCCTCTAGTTCTGGACGACCGAGACGAAGTCTCCACTTTTATTTTTAACTACTACAAACCAATTTTAAAAGACAACCATACCTCCCTTGTAACCAAGTTCCTAGCCGAAACCCCTCCGTCTAAAGTTATTTGTATCCCTCCCCCAAAGATTGACCCCTCTGAAAAATCTCTCCCACGTCCCACGCGCTGTAAGCTCTCCCAACTCCGGTCTGGCTACAGCCGGCTCCTTAACACTTACCTATCCCGCCTCGACAGCTCCATCTCCCACCTTTGCCCAACCTGTTCCCTTGCCCCCCACACAACATGTCACCTTTTCAACTGCTCCCAAAACCCCTCCCCACTCACCCCAGCAGACCTGTGGCTTCGGCCGGTAGAGGTTGCTAAGTTCCTTGACCTGGAGACAGAAGAGCCCAACCCGACCCGCGTGGGCTAACAACAACAACAACAACTGTGCTAATAGGCAGTGATCACGTCAGATAATTGCATTAGTCTCTTATACTTTGTTCCACATGCACTGTTCTATTTTTAATGTGAATATATCCAATATATACGATATTTCAGATCTTGTTAACTACCCCCCCCCCCCCCCTATGGTACCTTGTAACAAATATCCCCCTTGTTCAGAAAGAATTGAACAGTTAAGCATATACGCTTTTTGCAATAGGGGTAGAATGGTTAACAAGATTCGATGTTTCTTATCCGTCTTTAATCTTTTCGTCGCCGTATCAGAGCATTTTTCTTTCTTGATTTGGCGTCGTGTTTTTTGAAAACTACCATATTAGATGACATCAACTTCCCTCTCAATTGAAATCTGCGTGTTTTCAGAGCCCACAGCAGCAGTACCAACAGAATAGCAGCGGAACCAATGGCGACAACTTGTCAGAGCCCAGCAGAGATGTGAACACTTCACGTTAGATTCACCCTTCTCTCAGACATACAATAAAATTTGGATAATAAATTTTTGTGAATCAATAAAGAATTGATAAATTTCTAATCATCCAACAAAAATGGCCGCATGCACTGCTAGCTGAATTAGTTTACAAAATTGGTTTTTACTTGGAAGTGTCCCCTGCTTTGAACTTTGTTCAGGTTAAGATCTAAGTCCATTTCCGAAATTAATAGTTTTGTCGGAAATAAACTGACAGCATTTTCATTTTTATCATTCGATGTTTCAATTTCGGGGTTTCGGGGTTAGGAAATTAGAGGACAAGCAAATTAGACGATCAGAAAAGAACGAAATTTAGACAATAACTTGCGTGAAATTTGTTTACAGACTTAAATTATCTTTTGCCTGAGTAAATACTGGTTGTCCGTAAATTTCGGTTCTTTACGGTCGTCTAATTTCTTGTCGTCTAATTTCCTTGGCCCCTTCAATTTTAATCAGTTACCTTTGTACGTTTCAACTCTTGTAACAGCGATGAGTTCTATTTCAGCATGGTGAGTGTACGCAAAGTAAATTAAATTAAAGCTTGATGCTGGTCAATATTCATCTCGGCTTCCTCCCTGCTTGTGAAAATCAAAGAAAAAACTGTTTAACATTTTAACTGAGAACATTACTTATTCAAGTGAATACGTGAGAACTGAAAATTTCTCTTGGATCAAATTGAAGGCCGGGATCTCTTTCACAACCCCCCACCGCCACCGCATTGCATGGTATCTAGAAAAGAATAGCCCCCTATTAAGTACTAATTCAACAGTTAAAAATGTGCTAATAGTGTAACCATTAACGAATCTGCTTTCGCTATTGGCAGGAAATAGTAAAAGAGATCCGGAGGTCGTTTTGAATTAACTCTTAAAAGGTTAGTTTAACTTGTGGGAAATCTTTAAACAAATTTCCGCTCGTGATGGTTTGATTAGCCTGCCGCTATTTCAAAATTTTAATTAATTTTTAATATCGCAAAATCTGTTTCTGCAGCTGATGTGTAAGTGCTTAAACAAGCCTTGAACGCGTATTCCCAGAGCGCTTTTTTCAATTGGTTGGAAGTCTGATCTGTGCAAAACTTAAGCGTGTGATGATGTTACCGGTTTAGTCGAAAACAAAGTGTATTACTATCGGATAAATTGGCTTTATTTACCCTTAAGAAGCGTTCTTCAAGTGCGTGTTCTTTAGGTCCCGATGAATCTTCAGCGAGATATGCAAATGGCGTGCGGAACCCTAGTCAACACCAGCCGGAGTCGGGATACCAAACAGGTATGGGCCACTATGCCCATGCGTACCATCATCACCACATGATGCAACACCACAAGGAACCATGCAGCGGGAACCAACACAACGAAGCAGTCATGAACCACTCTTTTGATTCTACAACAGCGGACAGAGTGGACAGAAACAGTAGCAGTCATCATCACACCCAAATAGATCACCATAACCAGTCCATGTGAACAGTAAAACTCCTCTCGCAGGTGTGTTCCGGCGCTCGCTGCTGATAGTTCCAACCCGGTGCCAGAAAAAATAGTATTGTAAATTTTGGGATTTTGTAGCTAATTCTAATTGCATATATATCATACATGTTAAATATTGACATTTTGTGATTGAAATTTTATGTCTCGCCGTCAGTTCTTGTTTCCAGGTTCCAGTATATTTGAATTTATGGTCTAACCTTGCGCGTTTTGATGCAATATAAACCCGAGTAGTTTAAATACACACTGGGCAAAGTGATACAATAGCTTGCAAAGCGGTGTCGCATTGCAGTTTTTCGTTTTCATATGCTTTTTCAAGTCTCAAACAACTAAGTGTAGATACCTATTTAGGTCATGATGGTTTTTTGTATAAAGCTGTTAGTCTGAAAAGCTGTTAACTTCCACAATTTTTTGTTCACTTCAATATCCTTGCTTCAAACTAATGCTTCAAATCTGAAATAAAGTCAATGAAGTCTTGCCGGGTGTTTACACTTGCCAACTTTAGATAGTGTTAGTGTAATAGTACGACTATTCTTTTTTTTCTAACGGATGGTGCCACTTTTGGCGGAACCTTTACAGCGTTTTGATAGCATCTGCTTTGACATTCGAATAGTAATGAGTTGAGGCTCTTTTTCCGTTTCCACTCACCTGCATATTTTTAAAATTGATCCGTTCGCATTGTCGGGTTGTTACAAAAATTTGCACGCGGATTCGTTAGGCCATGGCAAACATGATTGTTTTCATAATTAACCTTTTAATCCAGTCGTTACACCATAAAATTGATGCCTATGTGAGGTTGGAGGAAAAGGAAAAATTTCTTAAGTTAACAAAGTTGATGCATTTTTAATTCATCAGATGAACCCAAAAAAGCCATTTGTTTCAAACAACATAAGAATAATAAAAACTTGATTCCAGAAATTTTTTGACTCAATATATCTCGTTATTTTTAAAATACATAATTTATGCAGTATGTAGTTCTATGCTTTCCAATTTATTCAATGCAAAGTTAGCGTGGATGCCTTCAGTTTGTTATATTCCAAATTTTTACTTGCAAAGTTGTGCCTGTTTGTATTTGGTGCCACTTTTGCTGCTTGGCGGTGCAATTTAATCGCATATGTAGCTGCTTTGTTTTAGATTAGTGTTTGCTGGTTGGTAAGCGTTCGTGGCCCAGAGGCGAGACTCCAATTTTCGAGGTCACAGATTCGAAGCCAATACAAATCAAAGTTTTACTAATTCCAGGCTTACTTCTTTTTTTCTGGTTTCGTTCTTACGGTAGCTAGCAGCTAGTGTTTTAGTACGAACCTTCTTTTTTTCTAACCTAACTTGCAAACAAATGTTCATTTGAAATGTTCTCTCGTGTGCCTTTTTGCTATAATTATGATATGTAGCAGTGGAATTTTCATAGCAACTGTTCTCGGCTTTATTTTTGGCAGTGTTTGTGAAGGACGAAGAGCCCGTAGCTGAGTGGTAAGTGAGTGAGACTGATGTCTTGGTCGCAGTGGGTCCTAGAATCATGTCCGAGACATCGCTGAGTTTTTACGAATTTGAGCTAATTCTTACTTTTTTTATTGGACTTTTAGAACCCATGAGCTGATTTATGTCGTGTTCTTGCTAGTGTTTCCTTTTCAAACCCGGGTCGAAGTGTGTGACTTATTTTTTGAGCGCAAAGGTTGAACAGGCGAACTATTTTTGATCCACAACCGACAGAAATCAAGGTTTTGACTCACGAAAAAAAAACGACAAAGTAGAACAGATAGGGCAAAACTTTATCGAACTCCAAATCAAAAGAAAGTTGTATTCATTGGTCGAACTGAGAGTCAAAGGATTGTGAAATTGAAGGAAATGGCTTTAGATGATTTTAGGCAAAAATCCAAAAAGTTAGATTTTTTTTAGTAAGACTAACTGTAATAAAGAGTTGATGCAGTAGGGAGTGTAATCGCTGATTTCTGATCTCTAAAATTAGTTTGACTTTGTCGGTGAGGAGCTTATCATTTTATTTAATGATTTTTAACGAGTTTTAACATACCCATCTAGGGTCGCTATGGTCAAAATACAAATACTTTGAGTCAAACGCAGACGAATTTATCTTTTTAAATCGATACAGTTTCAGATTGAGAAGGGGTAAAATAATTGTTTTAGGTCTACTCAATTGAAATGATAAGGCTGTGATCTTATCAATTTCAGAAATGGGATTAAGTGCTGAAAAAATATTTAGCGAAAAATTTAATTCCTAAATAATGTCGGAATTTGAAATATATATTTTTTTATTTTTGGTACAAGTTTGCGAAAGTGTAGTAAGAAAAAACGTATGACCTAGGGAATACAGGGGCGATTTCGGCCTATCCATCCTCCCAGACATTCAACATTTTTTCTAATAAAATCTGCTCAATCTCTGCTGCAATCCAGACATGCTCAATTTTCTGCAAAAAATCAAGTAAAATTATTTTTTAGTTCATTTCAGGAAGGGATTAGTTTTTCAAATATGTATTTAATTTTTAAAAGTTGATTTTTTGGGCTTTTGGTTTTTGTCCTAAATTTTGTCGGCTGCTTTTCCGTTTTTTCCAAAAGCAGCTTATATTATGTTTTTTGTTTTTGATTCATACTGTATTTTAATTAAACAACGTTTTATGACGTTTCGTTTTTGGCTGAACGAATGTCGACTCAAGTTTTTTCATCTTTTTTGCCGCTCACTCATTGATTCTCAATGCTAACTACGGCTGGTAATGAGCCTCATCCGAAACCACGGTGTGAAATTTTTGTAGATAGTTTTTTTTTCGAGTTTTTCAAGTAATTTTTTCAATAACTTTTCAGAAGAATGACTTGTTTTCTATTCAACATCTTGCAAGTGTTGCAAAAATCCGTTTTACCGCTGTTAAAAAATTGGTTGACATGAACTTTTTTCCAATGAAGTGAACGCACATATGAAAATCATGCTTAGAAGCTAAGTTAAATAGATTTTGTAGTGATTTTACAAACCAATTGGAAGTGTCGTGGGGTTCACAATTGGTACAGTAAGATTAAAATCATTCTAGGCCTTACAGTCATCAATTTTTATTGTCTTTTCTTTATTTTAAAGTGCAAAAATTGAAATGAAGCTTAAGAATTGGCGGTTGAAATCGATGACTGTATAGCCGGGAATATTTTCCATCTCATTGTACTAATTCAGAACCCCGCATTTTTTTTTCAATTGGGTCATAAAAGCACTACAAAAATCATCTAACTTAGTTTTTAGGTTGTTTTCCATATTTGCTTTCTTTTCTTGGAACTTGATTGATTTTGTCAAAATTTGATGTAAAGGGTCATCTAATATATGTAGGTCTATCTTATTTTTGTTGAATCAATTTCAGAAATGTCACGCTCCAATTAATTTTTAACTGCTATAACTTACGAGCGATTTTTTGTTCCAACTGTTACAGAAAGCGACAGAAAATTTCAACAAAGACTCTTCATGAAAAAGAAATTTTCTATGTTTTAAAATAACTTTGGCAATAAAAACTTCAACAAAGAATCTTCATGAAATAGAAATTTTGTTATGTTTAAAATAACTTTGGCAATAAAAACTTCAACAAAAAATCTTCATGAAAAAGAAATTTTCTATGTTTTAAAATAACTTCGGCAATAAAAATCTCTAACGTTTTTTGTCTTTTGTTGGTTTGTTAAGGAAATGTTAGGACCGTTCAAATCGAACATTGACAAAAAATTTTTAAATCATGTTATCGTGTTTTTTTTTAAAAAGAAGATTTTTGGCACATTTTGTAATTGTGCTAAATCAGACAGGGGTAATGTGATTAGGGAATAGTGATGATATAGGCTTACCCCCTGCCCACTCAAAGGGTCCTCTTTTGGTACAAGTTAACGGCATCCATTTTGTTTTACAAACCTTGAAACTTTTTGACTGTTTTTTCAAAAATGTCTGCCATGTTGAAAATCGGTTGAAGAAAATCTTAATGATTTTGTAAATTGCGCTTTGAAAATCCACCTCGGAAAACTTTTGTTTCCTTCCTCCATTGAAATGTGTTTTATTGAGACTTTCGAGAAATGCAATCAACAAATTCATATCAAAGATATTTTGAAAGCTTACCATCGGTATATTAATTCACATCAGGGGAGAGTTTTTGTTTCACTAATTAAAAAATCTACAAATAACTTTGAACAAAAACAACCTTTAAGAATTTATGAGTACGCAATTCTTATAGAGACAGTTGTGAAAAAGGATGTTGTATTTTAGCTTCATTACGAGGCCATACTATACATTTTATGATTTTTTATGCAGATTCCGCTCCAAAAAAGCTCTTTGATCTTTCTTAGTTCTTTTTTTTATTTCTTCGATCATTCTGACAAAATTGTAATATGTTTAAAGACTTGTCTCCGAGTTCCGGAAACCTAAACATGCTAAATTTGCTCCTACCCAGTGCACAGTTTGGCTTCGTAATGTTTGAGTTTTATCAAAGAAATCATCTAACTAAACAATTTGACAATGGCTTCGATATTTTTTACAATGAAAATGTACAATAAATTTTGACAAAAATCCTTATTTACTTAACTTAGTCAAGTATTAGCAAAAAATTTACATTTGAAACCAAAATATATTTAAATTAACAATAATTTGATGTTAACTCGAAACTGAAAGTGCTTCCATTGATACGATAATTTAATTTTGGGTTTTTTGACAGCAATAACAGAAGTGGTAGCAAAAGATTTTATTTGAAAACCACCATCTTTTTGTATTTTTATGAAACGCAGCAAATAATTTAACAATGAGAAATTTGTTTATTATTGACAGAAGTATCAAAAAAATTTCATCATTTTTCTTACTTTTATAATGAATCGCAGCAAATAATTTAATAAAGAGGATCTACACATTTTGACAAAGTAACGAAACGCAACGAAAAAATTACCTTGGAGACTTTTTTTAGCTTTTCATTGTATAATTTATTCTCATCAGAATAATTAATTTTATCTTTAAAAGTATCAACATTTTGTCGACATTTTTTAATGAATCGCAGCAAAATATTTAATAAAGAGGATCTGCACAATTTTGACAAATTAACGAAACCCAACAAAGAAAATAACATGGAGATTTATAAAGTTTTTTTTTGTATTATAAATTCACATCAGAGCAAAATATTAGTTTTTATCTTTTAAAAGTATCAACATAATTGGACCAAAATTTTTTAAGCCTAACATAACACTAAATTTGTCCT